TGACGGCCAGCCGCAACACGCCCATGGCGCTGCGCAAGATCCGCACCTATCGATCGTGTAAGAGCTGCCGCCTGTCCAAGACAAAGTGCAACGGCGACCGCCCGAAGTGCTCGCGATGCACCGCCAAGAAGACCGAGTGCGTGTACGATGGCGGCTCGGCCCCGCGATGGGCTCGTAATCTGGACCATGGAGCGAGGACCGAGGGCAGCCGGAGCAACTCGCGAGAGCTGGCTGCCATCGCTCTGCTTGCCGAGGGCAGCGATGAGGCTGAGAACCCGCAGTTGGCGACGCCATTAACCAGCAACGGATCGGCTGAGCCGCAGATTCCCGGCGAGGTCCCGGGCCTGGGGAGCTTGCAGAGTGTTGCCTCTATCGAGCCTTCGGGGTCGGATATTCTGTCATGGTATGTGAAATGTTGTGCGATGCCATGTGCGGAGAGTAAAGGAGAAGGAATCCCTTGGTGGCTGTTTAATGGTTGCCATGATAGAAGAGAGACTGGGGCTGACATGATTTACTAGGCTTGTCTCACCAAGTCTTCCCACCGGCCGCAACTTGCGCCGTGTCGTGGAGCAATACTTTGCCAACGTCCATCCCATCCGCTGCTTCGCCTTTGTGCATAAGCCGTCGTTCATGCGGCAGCTGGACAAGGGCTTCACCTCGGATGATGAGTCGGCACTATTACACATCATTTGTGCTCATGGGGCAAAGTATGTGGCCCATCTCAGCTAACTCATTCGCCATTACGATTCATAACCATACTGACAAGGTTGTCTACAGATTCTACGTGTTGAATCAACATGACCACCCGCCAGCCTCTGATTTCATCCGCTTGGCCGGCAACCAGTGGGCCAAGCGAGCCGAATTCCTTGTCTTGACTAATTTTGGAAAGATCTCTGTCCAAAGGCTCATGGTATGTCAACTCGATACCATTTGATAATGATGATCCCAACTCACTGTTACAAGGTGGCCATATTGCTTCACGACTTTCACTTTCGACAAGGAGAGTATTCCAATGCCCTGATGTTAAGCGGGCTTGCTGTCCGCATGGCCCATGCGCTGAAAATCAACGTCGAAGCATCCCCCGATGTTCTTGGCAGTGACTCCAACGAATCGACCCCGTCGGTTGTCACCAGAGAAAGTCGTCGGAGGCTCATGTGGGCGTGCTACGTCCTCGATGCGTGGGCGGGTAGCGGTATTGATCAGCTGACTCTTCTGCGCGAAAATGACATCAAGATCCAACTGCCTACAAATGAGAGAAACTTCGGTCTTCGCATAGCATCGGTGACGGAAACATTAGGCGTGGGCCATGTCCTCCAATTCTTACCGCCGTCCGTGGTGCCGAGAAAGCCATCTGCGAACATGGGCATCATGGCATACTACATCCGAGTAGTAGCGCTCTGGAAGCGAATCGTTAGATATGTAAATCAGCTAGACTCCAATCTTCCTCCTTGGCTCCCCGACTCACCATTTGCTGCTCTCGACGCCGATCTCCGCCTGTGGCAAAGGGAGCTGCCAGAATTTGTCGAATACTCCATGGAAACTATTTATGCTCGACTGGATTCAAATCAGCTGGGAGCGCTGGTTCTGATACATTGCACATACCATCACAACTACTTGGAACTCTACAAGATTTCCATGCCGGATTTATTCAAGCTTCCCAAGCCTCTATCTGTGCCACCAGAACACCACGACTTTCTTCAGTCTGCGCAAGCCAACTGCTATCACCATGCGCAGCAGATTGCAGACATTTTGGCCGAAGCTGCCGATCATGGAGCTCACCTGTTATCTGACAGTTTGCTACCATACTTTGTGTACGATAGTAGCAGAGTGATGCTGTACTACGTTGCGCGTCTGCTCGACCCCAATAGGCCCGATGCTCAGTCAAAGATGGAGGATGCCATCAATGCTGTTGAGAGCAACCGTCGGGTTCTAAAGATGATGGCTGCTCTGTTTCCCATCGCGCAATCACTGGTGAGTCTCCGTCTCTAATCCTGATAAGGGGCTGCAAATACTGACTGGTTTGTCATAGTCAAATACAATTGATAGATGGTTGTCCAAGATTCGGCAATCTACTAGCCAGAATGATCTCGTAAGCAGGATGCTATCTGAAGTCCGCTCCGAAACTCACGAGGGCGAAAAGTGAGTACCTAGCTCAAGTCTATTATCCCTGAGTTCCAACCGCCGTCTTGCTGACTGACATCTTACAGACCAAATCATACTTCTGTTAGCCCTGTACACGCTACACCTGAGTTTAGTCTCCCCTCTATCTCCCTTCACTCGCTCGCACGAACAGGTATTGCGACAAGGCGAGCTGCAGATCGTGCAAGCGGCGTTCGAGGACTGAGCTGGTCTGCCGAAAGTCCAGGCGCTGCAGCATGGGACCGCAACAATGCGGCGCAGCAGCTTGTCGGCCTCAGCCAAGACGTCCTCACTTCATCACGGTCAGGTCTTCAGCATGAGCAGCCGGTGCCAACAGCGTTGCCGCAGCTGTCGCCTCCAGCCTACCCCAAGCGAAACGCCCCGACGCAGCCAATGTGCGAAGCACTCGACTTGGACGATTTGCAAAACTTTTTATCATGGGATATGTATGGTATAATGGACATGGGGGACCCCCTTCCTGACGAAGGGCCGGAGGACATGACGATGCGGTCGTGGTCGGGGTCCAACGATGCGATATAATTGGTATATAAGTAATGGGTGGATTGGCTTTTCAAGCATGGGATTATTACGGACAAGATACCTCTGGGCATTCGTTTTTAAGGCGTATCATACACTCTGGAGTAATACATATTCTTACTTAGTACACATAGTGCCTGCTTTAAAGAGACCGGCATAAAGTCCGGTGGAGTTTTAGGTGTTTGGGTCGCTTCATCGCCAGTGCCGCCGGCCCGTCGCTCGGGTGATCGGCTATTTATGCGACTGTGCTATGTCTTTTGAAGTTGAGGTCTGTGACACAGTCATGTAGTGCTAGCTCATGGCTATAATTCTAAAAGTACGAGACTTTGGTCTGTAGATTTGCCAGCAGTTATTGAATTCTGAGGAACATTCGATTATCGCAACGAAATCGACCGCTGGTGGTACTTTGGCCTTTGCAATGAGCGGTGAGATTTTCGGCTCCGTGAAAACATAAACAACGCCTACCTAGGCAACGCTTCCAAGAGCCTCATGCAGTCAAATAATAAACATTGAAGCATGAAAATGGAGAAGTAAATAGTCGTTGAAGCTTACTGTCCCACTTACATACATCAACAGTGAGACGGATTCTTAACGCGGAGCGGACGGGATTTGCGGGGCCGGAGTGGCGCACTGTTTACAGTTAGAAATAGGGCGCTTGCTTTCAACAAGATCATCCGATATGGTGTAGTGGCTAACATCGCTCGCTCTCATGAAGATCCGAGCAGCCCTGGGTTCGATTCCCAGTATCGGAGAGAATGTTTCTTTTTGACCTTTTTCCTTATTGTCCTCATGTTAATGATAAAGTACTGTTTTCTGTTGTTCCTCTTGGCAGGCGAATATCTGATTTTTAATTCGTACAATGGCCAGAGTGAGCGCTAAAACTCACACCAATAGATCTCTGCAGCATGACGCAACGAGGCATAATGCATGTTTACTCCTGTTACAAAACGGAGTCAATGTAACACGACTCCACCAGCCGATGGGCAACGAAGGATTTCTCGTGGATTGGTCCAAAAGATCGTGGGCCTTGTCTTTCTGATCCTGGTTGAGCTGGCCGATACAGTAAACAAGGCGAATCTTTTGTGTGTGAGACCAGAGCAAAAAAGCCCTGCCCGCCGCTAAAAACATGGGGTTACGGGCCCCCCTGGTCCATGTTCTTTTTCTGCTGCGCCCAGTCATAATCCCGAATGCAGGTAAACAAGGCAGACGGCGTGATGTTTTGCATGAGGCTAATGGAGGTGTTGCGCCGGGGCTAGAGATGATGATGCAGATGGTGCGTGTAAACATGTTACAGTTTTGGTGTTTCGTGATGTGGTTGCCATGGCAGAGGGAAGGCTGATGGGCTGTTGTGCGACGAGTATATCGGTTTTGTGTAATTGACGGGCGAGTGTGATTCTTCGGAATGGCATTATTTGTCACTCGATTTGCTGTAAAATCACAAGGGACTGCCCAATTTCGCATTCAAACAGAGGGAGAGAGACAGAGAGACACAAGGCATCGTCCCGATCTCAGCCGAGACGATGCTGTAAGATACTGCAAAGTCGCTCACCCCGCCCTGGAAACAGCTGAAACCGCTCCCACGGCGCGGCACGCTCGCAGGGCGCCTCGAAAAGGCGATCGCGTCGCCGTGGCAACGCTCAGCCCTCAGATGCGGCACCGCGGCGGCTAAAGAGTGGGGATTCTTCAGCCGTACAAATGCCACCCGTTTGGGGCCCGGCGTCGCATCTGTTTTTCAGCCAAAAGCTGTCTCATGGCCGCTGCAGGTCTCGCTTTTTGCGCTTCTTTCTTTTCCCCTTCTTCTTCATCGTCTTTGCAGCGCTTGCATTGATTGAGGCGAGGCTTGACGCGGCGCCGACTCTCGTTATTCTTTTTCTTTATACTAGAAGCTTTGTTAAAGGAAAAAAAGTTTATTCCTTTTATTTACTCTTCACTTTACTTTACTTTATCAACGGATTACCATTGCCGCCTGAGGATCTCTCGTTTGCATATCGAGATTGATCAACACTACTCTTTTTTCTTTATCGCTATCTAACATTGATATCATTGTCCTTCCCATCTCCCGGGTGCTCTCTGCATTACCAAGAAAGGCACAAAAAGCTGCCCAGCTGCAGACCTTACCAGACACCCCTGCGAGATCCCAGGAGAGCCCCGCGCTCTTCCTTGTCGCCCACAGACGCTTTGCCAGGCAGCTCTTTTCCTCCATCACCGCCAGAACCAGTTGCTCGACGCCGAGCGCCACCGAGGCTCTGGGGACTCCCAGCCTTTCACCGCAGAAGTACCTTTAGCAGCATTCACGCCGCCTGGGGTGGCTGATCTTGTTCGCCATGAACTCCAGCCTCTCCAAGCAGGTCAACAGCAGCATTGACCAGCTGCACGGCATCTTTGACGAAATCGGTGTGCCCGACCATGAGCGCGAGGCGCGGGAGGCAGAGGTGCGATTGTCCCCTTCAAACTAATTCGCCAATGGCGATGCTGACTGAACTGGCGCTGCAGCTGTTCCAAGCTCTGTCGGAAGCGCTCAACAACCACCTGCGCACGGTGACAAAGGAGAAGAAGGACATGATTGACGAAGCCAAGAAGACCGTCACCGCAATCCGACAGATGGAAGCCTCCATGGACGACTCCAGGCCACGGCGTAAGAACTCGACCAGCGACGAACTGAAGCTTTCGTATCCTCTGATCCCTTGCCTGCAAAGGCTCAAGGAGAAGCACGGGCAGGTACAGAAGAAGCACAAGGAGCGATTTGAACAAGTCAAGAGTGGGTGGAATCCGCATCGGCAAACCAGCTGGCTTTCAGACATTAGTGCTAACATTTACTGCTGCAGAGCTCGTTGAAGCCCTCGAATCATACTCATCGCACCTGGAGCCCTCATTTGTCAAGATTGCCCTCCCTCCCACCGGTCCCAGCCAATCTATCCCCCTAACGTTTGATCTGTCACCATCATATGTCACCCGCCTTGACGCAGAGTTTACGCGAGTGTATGAAGAGTATACTCGCCGGCTTACGACGGTGGAAACATTGGGTGACGAAATCATCCAGCTGTGGGCCGAGCTTGGTGTTCCCCAAGCCCAGCAAGATACAGCCATCATCAAGTATTACCGCGAAGCCCCTGAGCAACTCGGCCTCCACCAGGAAGATATCCAGCGACTGCAAGCCAGGCTCGATAAATTAACGGATGAGAAGAAGAGTCGCGAAAAGAAGCTACGCGACCTCAAGGCTACAGTCGAGAACCTCTGGGAGAAACTTCAGATTGATGAGGAGGAGACCAAGGCCTTCCTCAACGAGAACAGAGGCTGCGGAATCCGCCAAATTAACGAGTTTGAAGACGAGCTGGAGCGATTGAATGTGGTAAAGCGGAAGAATATGCACATCTTCATTGAGGACGCGCGCGTCAAGCTCCAAGAACTGTGGGATGTCCTGTACTTTTCGGACGATGACATGCTCGAGTTTACTCCAGCCTTTTCGGACGTTTACAGTGATGCGCTACTGGAGGCTCATGAACGCGAGATTGCTCGCTTGGAGACACTGAAAGAGCAGCGCGCGCCGATCCTCGACCTCGTTGCTAAGCACAAGTCTCTGATTAAGGACCGAGACGAGCTTCTCGCAGCCAGCCAGGATGCCTCTCGTCTTATGTTGCGCGGCCAGAAGGGCGAGAAGCGCGATCCTGGAAAGCTGCTTCGCGAGGAAAAGATGCGCAAGCGCATCGCCAAGGAGCTGCCCAAGGTGACGGCTGACGTTCGCAAAGCACTCGAGCAATGGGAAGACGAGTACGATAGACCGTACTTGGTGTTTGGCGAGCGATACCTCGACGAGCTAGATGCTGAAGACTCAAAGAAACCAACTCAAACCCGATCCAGGACTCCGGCAGGCCCCCCTCCGTCAGCGACCAAGGCACTGGTGAAATCAGTCTCATCTTCGGCAATCAGGCCTTCCACCACCACCAAGGCCTCCCAACCGCCTCGCTCAATGACAAAAACTCCTACGGCCAGCGTATACAACCTAAACAACAAGTCTCAGCCCATGTTTTCGCAATCCACCGCAGTGCCCAGCAGCCCCACAAGGCAGCCTAGCACAAGAGCTCCTCTGTCCAAGATAAAGGATGGCAGCAACTCACCAGAGCGGCCTAGAGCACAATTCCAGAAGAGCATGGAGGCATTGCGTAAGGGCGGCTCCGTCAGACTCCCGCCGCCCAAGATGCGCGAACTAAGATCCGTCGCATCATTGGAATCACCATTCAAGCCTTATAAGTCGATGGGATCAAACTCAACCACCAGCGTTGTGCGTGCGGTTGAGCCTGAGGACGCTTATGATGAGAGGCCACAGTCCAGAATGAGCCGTGAGTCGAGCTTGTCGCACAGTCGCCAGCCCAGCTACATCGATGAGGATTCAGGCGCAAGCCGCTACTCTTCGATCCGAGAAGTCCCGCGGTATCCTCAGACAGCCTCAAGCAGATTCACTTCCAGCACATCGACTACCTCAACCGTTGTGACCGGTTCTGAGAACTGGGAGACATACGACGACTACAGCGAGGAAGAGCCAGATGTGTCGGACTCGTACTACGCCAATCTTCGGTCCTCTCGAAGCAAGCGGATGGAGCCCGAGCAGGGCCACCGACCAGTTAGCAGCGCGGCGAAGCGTACGCGCGGAGTTCCTGCAGCTTACGCACCGCCCGTGATGATTGATCAAGACGGTAACCGAGTTTCGGGAGGCGGCGAGTGGACAGAGACAGACGATGATGGCTTTCCATGATTGCCTCTCGTACTGTTTCTCGCCAACGCTGACTACGTCTTTTCTCTCACGGTTGACGTTGCAAAATGGTGTAAATGAGACATGTGTGTGTCTATGCTACTCGCTGCCTTTGATCACATTGGCAGCGAGTCGAATGAAGAGCTTATTATGACGATGCGGGCCATCTACAAACGGCGTTGCGGAGCCATTGTCTGTTCTGCAGGCAGGCAATGGTGCAATGTTTGCGGCTTCTCTCCATTCTATTTGTCCGGTTCCCGGACTCGGTTTCATTCTGTGTTATATCTGCGCTGTGCTGAGCATTGAGCTTTTTGTTTGTACTTTTTCCTCTTTTGATTTCTCCTTCTTTGTTGTTTCTTTCAATTTTAAGGACTGGGGCTATATGGAAGATTCCCAAGGTGTAAGAGGGAGTGGGAATAGGAATGGGATTGGGATTGGGATTGGGATTGGAAAGGCGAAAAGGGACATGGCTGGCGTTGGATTTTGCTTATTTTTACTTGTGTGCTTGGTATTTGCATGGCTCTGGTTGATTGAGGGGCCTCTTGTCTCTCTCTTTGTGTCTATTCCTTTTCAGTTTTGCAGCATGAAAAAGATGTTTCAATGTTTAAAGTTCGAACTGAGATTGTCAAAGTGAAAATGAAAGTCTCTGTGAAGCTGGTCTTATTCAGACAACGGTAGCCGAGCTGAGACAACCTTGAAATCTCACCTGATGTCGTACAGCATTAGCATCAGCCAACAGCCAACAGCCCGTTGTAGCAGGTGGTCGAACGCCGAAACCACAGCGCATGCGTCCCTGGCAGCAGGGCACTTATAGTGGATGCGCACTGATCGCGTGGGGCTCGGCTTGTCTTTAGCGCTTCTGCAGGGTCACATTCATTCATTCCCGCCGTTGACGAAACGCCAGGAAAGAGGAAAAGTCGGGGCGTCCGGCAGCTGAGCACCGAAGCTCCGTCCGTACCTGTCCAAAGAAAAGAACATTGGAACCAGAGACCCCAACAAAAAGAGGCTCGTTTGTTTCGGGTCCCCCTGTTTGGTTTTGGTGTGAGCTTGGCAGGCAGGCTGACTGGGGGATCCTTCCAGTTCCACGTATTCGTGTTGAAGAACTTTTTTATCTTTTGGCTTTTGCTGGCAGCCTGGCTTGCTTGTCTCCTATTTTTGGATTTGTTTTCGTCAGCTTCTTACAATTTTTCTTTAAGCAAGTATTCTTATTTTGCATTTTTTTTTTTATACATAGGAATGATGTCTTTTGAATAAGTCTTTTTGCTTCTCATCGATCCCTTTTTTCTCTTTACACCTTTTACACTCTAAATGTGGCCGGCCCCGCGATCAAGTGTCGATATTTCTCGGTGATGAAGCCCGCAGATAGCGCTTCCGCCGCAATTAGGGGCGCCACGCTGGCCTTTCAGAGAGACAAGCTCGAGCAGAAACAGCAGCAGCAGGGGCAGCAACAAGAGCCGTCGACGACGACGAGACAGCCCTTGGGGCGAAATCACAGCCACGTCGTCGCGGGCAAGAGAGACAATGGCGCCTATACGGCTGCGACGGAGGCGGTTCGATCGACAGGCACGGCGGCGGCCAACGGCTCGAATAATCACACGATCGGCACGCGAGCGCACCTTGTCCCAGGGAGGACCATTTCGACAGCCTCGGCACCGGAGCCATCAGCGGTGGGATTAGGTGCTTCGAGGCCGCAGCAGCTTGAAGGCCAGCAGCAGCAGCAGCGTCATACCGGCGGAGGTGGTGGCGCCTCAGCGGCGTTTGCCTCTCAAGCTGCGCATCTGGGCCTGGCGCCGGCGGCTGCGCGGATGGATGGCAGGAATCAGAGCCTCATTGCGGCGACGCTGGCTGCGAGTCGGAGTGCGAGCCCTACGAGACCGGCGGCGACGAATACGGGGACGAATACGGCGAAGATGGCGGGCAGGAGGGCGGAGAGCGTGAGGACGATGAGCTCTGCGAGCAGTGCTGGGGGAAGCGAGGTTGTGGATTCGGGGCCGTTGGCTTCTGCAGGATCGTTGATATCGATGTTTGAGCGAGGGAATGGAAAGGGTCCTTCGCCGCCAGAGTCCGTCGTCAGCGGTGCTGGAGCTGAAGACAAGATCAAGCTCAGGCCGGCAGTGACGGTGGTGACGGCCAGCGATCAGCCGCAGCAGAAGAAAGTCAAGAAGCCAAAGAAGACGCCCGCGGTGGTCAAGCGAGATACGCGGGCGCCGCCGCCGACGCCTCCTCCCGCGACCAGGACGCGCCGAGACCCGATGGCTGAGACAGCTCCGGGAGGGGACGGAAAGTCAATGACGGCGGCGGCGGAGGTGTCGGGACCTGGGCAGCGGATTGATCAGCGAGAGAGCTTGGGGTTGCAAACTGCGCAGAAACAACAACGGGAGTCCAATGATAATAGTAATCGTCAATCCGAACAGCCTACAACAACCAAATTGAAAGAGAACAAAGCTGCCACTCCGCCCCAAAGGCCCATGACTCCAGCAGCTGCTACAACGCATACATCAACATCAACATCAACATCAGCACCAGCACCAGCTCCTTTACCACAGCACAAACCCAACCCCACGAGCTCGCATCCACGATCAGAAACTACGACATCACCGCCGCGAGCGATCCATCCCTCTACGCCTCCGCCTCTCAAACCTCTTATGAGCAGGACTGTCGCTGAGGTCGTGTCCCCGCAGCCGACGCGGGTGACCAAGACTCCGTTGAGTCCCATGGCCTCTCCGCACTTGACACTGAACCCGTCTATACATGTTGCTCTAGCATCACCTTCGCCGGATCCGCCAAAGAAACGGCAAGATGTCTTAGTGGTGAAACGACCTCCTACACCGCCGAAGCCGAGGGGCAATGGCCATAAACGTACAGGCAGTGATGAGCCTAAGTTACGAGGCAGGTCTTATAGCCATCATTTAGATGCGGCGGCGGCGAACCAGTCGCGGGCTTCTATAGCTTCTGCAATGCGGACGGGGCAGTCTGTGTCTCCCCAGCATTCAGGGTCCTCTCGCCCTTCTTCTATGTTCCTGTCTAGGAGACACTCCATGGTGAGCGCGCCGTCGCTCGGCACTGCGACGCCGGGCCATACGCCGCTAGACAATCTTACCGATGCCATCATGGCCGGATCGCTCGCCTCGTCTCGCCTAACGCCGCATCATACCGGTTCGAAACTGGCTCCTCCTCCGGTGCCGAAACGGCAAAAGTCGCCTCGATTGTTGCATACGCTGCGGAATCCTCACCAGGTATCTGACGATGAGGAGGATTCTCACAAGAAGGGGCATCGGGCCCTGCTGAGAAAAGGCAAGCATGCGCACCACGAGGGATCGAGGAAGAAGTGGCGGGAAGAGATTAGGCCGCGAGAGAGGAAACGCTACGAGGCGCTGTGGGCGTCGAATCGCGGCATCATGCTGACGGACACGCGGCTGATGAGTCCCGCCACGAGCATCAGCAGCAATCTGGACAGAGACGTCTCGCAGTGCGTGGCAAACGTGGTGGTGAGGGAGGTGTGGAAACGCTCGAGGCTGCCGCTGGATGAGCTGGCCGAGATATACGACCTGGTGGACCGGAGCAGGATGGGGATGCTGAGCAGGGCGGAGTTTGTGGTTGGGACGTGGCTGGTTGATCAGAGGCTGAAGGGGCGGAAAGTGCCTGCAAGGGTGACAGATAGTGTCTGGGGGAGTGCGAATGGGGTGACTGTGAAGGGGCCGAATGGGAAGTGAATGTCATGCTGCTTTTTGATGCTGTTGTTGATACCCCTACTGTATAGAATAGATACGATACATACATATTGAGCGTTATATGCGTTGCGTTGGGTGGTTACTTATGGGATACTAGGACTGGATGGGATACTGAATAAGCTGAATGGAATGCCAGAATACATGGATGGGATACAAGAATAGCCTGGACCGAATATACCTAGATCATTACCTAGAAGACTTGTTGACCTTGTAAATGCAGGACTTATTAAAGATAGGTTATCAAGTAATATCAAGTTCAATTACATCGCTTGGAGCTATACTAGTCTATGTAAATAATGTAAATCATTAAATGTCAATGCTCGAAATCAAGTTGTTCCCATATTATTCCCTCAGCGCCTTCATATAAGATCCATGCCAAGTGTAGTTATATGTCGCCACGTCACACTCTTTGGTCGTAAAATATCGAGGTAGTTCATTCCAGGTTCAAGTTCATGTTCTTTTTTTTTTTCCAACTGTTCATCCCCAAGTTTAATTGGAGCTGGACTTGAGAGTCTTGGATGTCTCGCTGCCGACGGTAATGGTCACGTTGTGGTTGACGAGGGTGGGCATCTGGGAGACGCCGTAGAGGCTGTAGACGGTGGCGGAGATGATGCCGTCGCCTTGGGCGATGTTGGCGGGGATGGTGAGGGTTTCGGTGATGTTGGTGAGGATGTTGGATTTACCTGACTGTGTTAGCCTGTTATACTAACAATTTGGGGGGGTGAAATGTCACGTACTGGGTCCGAGGTAGAATGAGCCGAGGACTGTGCCGAGACAGTCAGGGTAGCCGTCACCCTTTTGGTAGCCAACGGCAATGGAGATGTCTGAGACGGCTTGGATGTAGTTTTGGGTCTCGATGGTGAGTTGGAAGGGCTCGCCGGGCTTGATGGTTTCGGGGACGGCGATGCCGCTGATGATGGCGTTGGCGGAGGCCAGGAAGGGGATGATGGCGGCGATGGAGAATTGCATTTTGAAGGTTTTGAAGGTTTGAGGTTGTTGTTTGGGGGAAGAAGTGTTGAAGATGAAGGTATTTATAGTGGTGGCTGATGATGTTGGTTGTTGGCTTGAGGTGATGGATGGAATGTCTCTGATGATCAGTGGGATTAACAAGTTTATATAGTGGGCAGCTGCAACAAAGAAAACTCCATGCCAATTACGAGCTCTTGAATAATTAGCGGGCTGTTTATTTTCAGCATCGTCTTGAGTCGAGGGAGAAGCGGGCCGAGCGAATGAGATCATCGATGACTCTCCTTAGACTGTGGATCGGCAGCCAAACACGAGGTTTTGGCTCCTGTTGGGCTCTCGCTCGTTTCTTGCATGGCGAAAAAGATACCAGATACGAATGTACGTGCGCAGCTCGTGTTTGTTGGCCCCTTGTTTTTGTTTCTTTGATCTAGATGATTCTTTTCTGGGTATGAGGGCATCATATTGCCGGATTCAGGTACATGTGTGCTGTCGACTACAAGGTATGATGTAGAACGGTGAGGTGAAGCAACGACGGCGATGCATCGTCTGGGTACCTCCCCTTGTTCCCGTGTGGGACTCCGAGAGCTATGCTGGGCATGCTACAGGGCTCAATTTACTGGTTTGCAGGAACAAAGAAGAGCACGCTTGGACGCTACGTTATGACGATGGTGGGAGCTCAGTTTTCGACTAGGGCTGAGGCGTGTGGCCGGGGATTATGGAGATCGGCAACGCTGAGGAGATGTGTGGTGCTGTATGTACTGTGCTGTTACCTGCTATTGGGTAGGGGGCTCGCTGGCAGATGACTTGTACGATATAGTTGTGGCGATGAGTGCGAGGGAGAAGAGGTACGTTGCTTCTGGTTGGCGCTGAGATGAGAAGTCAAAGAGGCACTGCTGGCAGTCCAGGATTCGTTCGCTGCGGCTGGTTGAGTGTCTGACTCGGCGGGTATAATTATAGCACTGCGTCTATGCGCCTAACGGATAGTGGTGGTGAATGCTTTGAAACGCAGTGCTACTACGTCTACAGTCGGTAAGGGATAGAAGAAAAAGGAATATTCTATAGCCGGTCATTGAGAGTTTCCTTCCCCTTACACCGTCTATTCGGCTGCCTCGAATATTGGTTCTAGAAGCAGGAGCAGGAGGTCGGAGAAGAAGAATAGGAGAAAATAGTAGCTGTATAGGGTGCCGATACGAGATGGCCCCTTGCAGCAGCCACTCGTTAGTGGTTCTAGGGGATTCGCTTAGGCTATAGGGTGACGGAGAATTGCATCCAGTATGCTGGCAACTATCTTCAACACGAGGTCACGCGATGAAGAAAGTCATCATTGCTTTTCTCTGAGTGAACAAGATTGAAAATAAACATTTTGCACAGCGTAGCATTTTAGCAACGGTGGTGGTGGTAATGTCTGACCTTGTCCCCATTCGTTAAAGGTGTGGATAAATGTAGCATTCCAAGGTTACGTGCATTACGGTTTTTATACCCGAATAGCTGGAGATCTTCAGCTTGTGTCGTCATGCGGGATGTGAAGCTATGTGAGGGCGCTTTTGCGTTATGGCAAGGTATGACTTCATTTGCGTGAGATTCGATCGGCTATCGTTTGAATGTCTTATTGTTGCTCGGATGGATGGATGGGATGGTAGAGACGGGATAGCTACGACGGTTTTCATGATGAAAAGCTATGGATTTAAGCTGCGGCTTTGAGTGAATGAAGGTGGCGCCCTGGGATCCACTTGGCCGGCAGATCCGGTGGGTTTGCAAAGATTTTGACACTTTTGGTGGCGTTGACGGTGTTGCATTTTGGTGGGTTGTGACTGGTGGTGATAGATTTGATGATGGGTGAGGCTTGAATTGAAGATGTGACGGATGTGATATTACTACAGATATTCAAGCTGAGGTGGGAGATGGACCTGAACATGCATGTGCTTCTGTTGCTTTGATTGTGCAGCTCGTGGATGTAATTGCATGCTTTAGACGGTGGATACTTGCAGATGGCGGCGAATCCGGCTTTCACGGCATTGCCGTCTCGGGAGTTGAGGTTGTGTTTGCATACCCTGGAATAGCTTCAATAACCTCAATTGGCTGCAGTGGGCGCAATTTCATCAAGATGACTATGATTTAGCTAGCAATTTACTGACGAGATGGCTGCCCTTGATAGATTTCCATAGTCGTACAATTTGATCGTGGCATTGCTGGTATTATTGCATTCAATGCAATATGTCAGTTACATATGTATTTCAGGTCGAGGCGTTGACCAAAAACGTACTGCCAATTGCTTGGCGTTGCAATAAGTCGTTTATATATTGCTATAGGACGGCTTCCCTCAACCAAACCACCTACCTTGGCTGCTCACAGCCAATTATCTTCCGTAGTATAGTGGTCAGTATGCAAGCTTGTCACGCTTGAGACCCGGGTTCAATTCCCGGCGGGAGAGACCGCCAGCCCTCTAAGAGGGATTTCTTTTTGCCCTTTTACCAACTTTATTTTGAGTGGCTTTTCAACATCTTGGCTTCCAATTATGCATATTGTTTGTTCTCAGTAAGATTTTTTTTATCTTTCGTTCATTAGTCATGACTTTTCTTCTCTTGAACAAGATTTCTTTTTGGTGCGCGTATGACCCGAAATTACACATGGGAATGGATCTATATCTTAGCCTTAACAGCCAATAACTGTCTGCCACATATTTCTTCATCTGCAGAAAATATTCCCTTGGGTATCAACAATTGCTACCTAAAAGCTCTATCCTTAGTAGACCTGTTGACTGTGAGACTTATATGTGAATTTGATCCTGGTAAGAGAGCGCTAATACTTCTACACGGGGGGTTTCGTGTTCGTATTCTGATTATTTCGCCTTCTTCTTTCATTCTTTCCTCGAGTCAACGGTTCATCTGTTAGGATTTACTTCAAAATCCTCTCCCGTTCAAGAGGGTTTGCGCCTTGGCATAGTTATTTTATAGAAGTCATAAAGGCTGACTACTCAAAGGAATATTGATTTGTTTACGATGCACCCTTGCCTAAGCTCGCCCAAATAGAACCACTTGTTGACTGCCAGCTGTACGGCCATAGGATTATCTCTGCCAATAGAAATTGTCTTCGGTAACAGATATCGCTGCCCAAAATGCGGCTGCATGCCCTCCTTCTGTTAGATGGACTGAAATCCTTTATATTAATCGCCGGTCCGCTGATGAGTCTATTTTGTTTCAGTAGCTCATCCTGCATCCTCAGAGTCCCATACCAGTCTATCTTGGATAATCATAATCATCGCAATGTCAGGTTGCTTCCGCCGATTATTTCTCCTTGTCCTTGTCCCACTTGTCAAAGCCTATGAAGTATTCGAAACAACATGCTCTGCTCCTAATCCGCACTCGGAGTTTATGTTTGTATCGTCTCCCAACACTCGGGGTACCCTGGAAATATTATGGAGTTCTTTGTTCACCATCCTTGCCTGCACATGGACACTGCACCACCCCGATGTTCCGGAGCAACGTAACGATTGCGATCTTGGTGTATTAGGCGATATTAAATGGGCACTGAAAGCGTTTTGTAAAAGCGCGGTGATGATTGTCATGACTGCTCTGGCTCCAGAACTTATAATAGGCGTGGCCGTTGAGGATCTCATGAATGCAATGCAGACACAACAAATGATGGAAGAATATGCTTTCAACGACCAAGTAGCCTGGTCTTTGAGACACAGCTATTTTGCAGAGATGGGGGGCTTTGCCATACGCAGTAAAAAGCCGTTGGACGCCTCTGACAAGCAAGGCAACAAACCAAGAGGAGGAGAACTACATTCTCTCTCTGTTGATCAGCTCTATGACCTTCGACGCGACCGGGTTATCGAGTCCCTTCCTGATATCAGGGCTGAAGAGATCAAAGACAAGTCCCAGAGTGATACTTTGGGCAAGTTCATCGCGATTGGCCAAATAGCCTGGACCATTGTGCAAATCATTGTTCGGGCTGTTAAAAGACTTCCCGTCTCTCCGCTCGAGGTCGCTGTAGTAGCTTTCGCAGCTTGTGCGGTCATCGTATACGCCTTGTATATGAAAAAGCCGCAGCGCGTCTCGACGCCTATTGTTATCTATCATTACATTGGACAGAAAGATACGCTTGGAGAGATTCTCAAAGAGTGTCGCAAGATGGCTCGGGAGAAGAAAGATGGAGAGGCAGAGAAAGAGGCAGGGCAAGAGACTCAAGGTAATTCACATGGATCACGAGCTATTGCTCTCGATCCCGAGATACAAAGCCTTATTACACGTCCCCAAAAAGCTGTCAAGGAGAGATCTGACTGGGTTATATTGATTATAGTAAGTGTTGGTACGGCCATATTTGGTGGGATCCATGTGATCGCATGGAACTTTGCTTTCCCGACAACCATTGAGCTAATTGGATGGCGGTGCGCAAGTGTATATCTAACTGCATCTTCCCTCGGATTTTCAATCTTTTATTGGATCAACGTAATGCATGAACATCAACTTTATGAAGGCTTATTCTTTGCCCTGGGTGTTATTATGTCCCTCCTCGTTTCTTTAATTTCTGTGACATCCTGACCTATACTATCGTACTTAGGTATAGGGTAGGTTCCCAATTTATAAACTAAGGCGTCGGTTTATATTAGTAAAAAGATACGAGGGATCTAATGAGCAAAGTAATCACATAGCTAATAAGGTTATAAATAACTAATCTAATTATTATCTAAAAGTGCTATATTAATAACTAACTATTTAAGTTTTATTTAATAAGCATAATAAATAGTTCTTATATAGTAAGTTATTTTAAGTAACTCACAATCCCAATTATAATCCTCTGGGATAGCTTACTCTAGTATTTATAATTTATTATAGGTAGCTCACAGTATAAGATATAATCCTCTTTTAATTAGTCCATTAGTCTATAGTATTTCCATAAGTATATATCTTATAGTTATTAGGTTATAATATAATGTCCCCTCTTTATTAGTCTTGTCCTTAAGGCTAAATATGCATTAGCTTTATAATCTATAAGTATATTATTCTCCCTGTGTCCTATGTTCTATAACCTAGTTCCTTAAATAATATTATAATAACTAATAAAGTGTCTAAGCTAATTTCTTGTAAAACTTATAAGTGTAATATTCTTATATTATTTATTCTTTCTCACAGTTCTAACTTAAATATGCTATATACTTATTATTTTTAGAAGAAAGTTCCTTGTTATATAATAAAGGATTTTTCTTATTATTATAAATATATTAAATGTAGCTGTTTTTATAATAGTGTTTTGGTAGCTTTTTCTTATGGGTAAGTTTAATTCTTATAAAATATTTAAAATGCTAATGTGTTTATAGTAATAAGGATATTAAATTAGTAGAAAAGATTAAAAGTAGAGGAAGAGGCTGCGGGCAAAGCCCTAGAGTCTCTTTAGGCTTAGTTAACTAATTTATAAGCTAAACTATCTAAAGCTGTAAATTAGCTGTCTTAGATTTGTTATACTAAGAGTAAGATAAAAGAGCGTGGTAATAAATTAGTGCGTTAGGGAATATAGGAGTTAAATAAAGAAAATAAAGTAGTAAGTAATCTTTAATATATAGGGGTTCTTAATAACGTTAATTAGTCCTCCCTTAGCGTTAGTTTAGAGTTTAAGGACCTTAGTCCATTAGTTTAAGAGTTTAAAGAAATTTCTTTATTAATTCCTAAGAACTAAAGTATTTTTCCAGTTCCTATAAATTTTTTAATTTAAAGTATTCTTTTTATTTAATAAGGTACTTAATTTTATTTTCTTTATAGTTTTAGTGTATAGTAAGTATATTTTTAATTTTATATTTTTCTTCTTAATCTTTAATAATAATTTCATTTAAGATAGGTCTTTTAGTATTTTTATTAATTTATGCTTTTTTAAGTTATAATATATAAAATACTAGAATTTAAAGTTTTATTATATTTAATAAAGCTAATTTATAGTTTACTTCTCTAATTTACTTAAGAATTTTATAAGGTTTTATTTTTCTAATGTTAAGTTTATTACTTAGCCTATTTATCTTAATGTTTAGTAATTTATAGCCTTATAAATATTATAGTATATAAACTATATCTCCTTTTTAAAGAATTAGTCCTGTAATTTTATTTTAGTTTATATATTTTTTTATTTTATCTTAAATTAACTTAAGTTATACACACATTTCTTAGTATAAATTAATTATTAATTCTGCTATGAGTTAGGCTTTTTTAGAGTTAAGTTTATCTCACAGTAGTTTAAATGCTTTTAGTGTAAATCTATAGTTAGTATAAAAGGGGGTAATCCCTGTGAATTCTAAAGGTATACTATTATAGTATAGTTAAGCCACTAGTAATTTTTTTACTTAATTATCTTATATAAAGTTAATGTAGCAGTGTAAGTAAGCTTTAATAATTTAATTAATGTATTTTATTTATTTATTTATTTAAGGATAGTATATAGTACTTAATTTATAGTTTATTCCTAATTTAGCTATAAGTTTTTATTAAAATTTAAAAGTAAATGTTTATTCTTTATTTAATATTATTTCTTTTAGTAGTTTATATTCTACGGTAATTATTTTTATATATATATAAGTTCTTTTACTATATGTAATTTATTATGCAGTATAAAGTATACTTGCTTTAATAAGTAATAAACTACTATAAATATGCTGTTATATTTGACCTTAGTGAGAGATTTAATAAATGGGGGTAAGTTAGTAATATAGTTAAAGGTAATTAATTCCTATAGTTACTTTAGTACTAGCAGCGGTTATAATTTTCTATATAACTTATATCTTTTATCCTTTATTTATTAGTATATATTATAGTGTAATATAATATATTATATATATGCTTTAAGTCCTTTAATATTATAATATATAAGAACTTAATTATATATCTTCCTTATGCCTTTATGTTTATATAATAGGTGTTTGTGGATGTATTTAACTACTTTTCTTTATAGTTCTTTAGGTACCTATAATTTGCTGTTTTATTATCACGACCTAACACTTATGGTCGTAATAACGGGCCTACCGGGTAAGCAGGTTCAGATTAACTTAAGACCAAACAACCAATTAGGAATGGGTTAAAGGGAATTAGCTTCAATCCGTTATAATCTAACACTTTAGATTAATAAGAATTACTATTAATCCAGCACAATCCAGGAAACTTAACTAAATATATAAGTTCACTTCTTTACACTTATTAAATAACTTAAATAGCTAGTTATTAACACAGAATTAAAATTACAATACACTTTACACTGCTTACTATTTAATAACATTTATTATTACTATTTACATTACCTAAAGATCTCCTAATTACTCCGCTAACACACACCCAGAACTAAACTCTAGGTTTATCCCTTAGGAAGCCCTTGTATTACTAACTATCTAGTATACAGTTTATCACACATTAATAACTCTTATTCAAATAGTTACTAAACCTATAGGCAATACTAATAAAATAAGTTATATAAACTTTTAAGACCCAGTTAATAAAATGGATCACTCCAATAGGGAAGAACAAGCACCCCAGTTTAATAATCTAAACCATCCAGTCAATTGACTTACAGCCCTAGAAGCAATAGTCTAAGGAATAGTAACTTAGCGCACTAAAGACTAATAAACCATTACTAACCTCTAAAGAGAAATTATATAACTCTAAACTCAACAGAATAATCCATTAGTTACATAACTACCTATAATACTAGGAGTACCACCCATAGTAGCTCTAATACTACACCTAGGAGGCAACCCAGAACCTAAACTTAAGAAGACCCTAAGGGTAAAATAACCCAGTAAGTTTAACAGAGATACCGCTAAACTTCGCAAATTTTAGTATAATTTGCGTATATACTTTAAATACTACTACTTAATTACTTTCTTAGTAGATAAGACTAAATAAAAAATCTATTTTACAGAAACCTAAATAAAGGACACTGCTGCAGATTAGTTTACCTTAATCCTTAAGGATAAATAAAAACCTTATAATTAGTAAACATAACTCACTAAAGACATATTCACTAGCTATAAGAAGTTTAAAAGACAATTGGAAAAATCCTTTAAAATTACTAATAAAGCCCAAGAAGCTAAAAAGAAGCTAAGGGACCTTAAGCAAAAGGGCCTATATTATAAATACACTTTAACCTTTATTTAATTACTCACTAAAGTTAATTAAACTAAGGAATTAAAGAAGGAAATATATTATTACAGCCTAAAGCTAAAAGTTAAAGATAAAATCTATAAAATAAATTAATAGGCTATTAGCTTTACCAATCTTATATAAGAAGCAATTAAAATTAATAACTGCCAGTAAAAAAGAAAGTAAAAAAGGAAGGCAAAGAAAACTAAAAACCCAGTTAAATATTACCCTTAGCCTAACTAAGGAAAGAAATAAGATAACTATATTACAAAAGACAATAGTACTTAACCTGGAAAAATAGACATTAATAACATTAATAAAAGGAAGTTTAAAGGCACCTGTAACTCTTGCAGTAAACTAGGCCACAAGGAAGCAGACTGCCGTTCTAAGATAACTTATGGATTCTATAGTAAGAAAGGCTATAATAAAGCTTATTACTACACTAAGAAAAATATAAAGAAATCTAAGATTACTAAAGATAAGGCTTAGATAAATACTATCACAGAAGTACCCTATAACTACCTTAGCTAGATAGCTTACTATAATAATTTATATCTTATATATAAAAGCAGTAAGGAAGGATCCGGATACTATCTAAAGAAACCATAAGCCAGGAAGTCTTATAAGACTATATAAATTAATACCCTTAATTTCTATAAAAAGAAATATAAAAACTGCAGCTCTACGGAACCTTATTCCATTTATACACTTTACAAATACTTATCTTACAGCTTATAGAATATTAATTACATATGCGAAAACAATAAATCAGAGGAATAGGAACTCTTAGATAAAGAAACTAGTAAAAATAAAATTATTTATAATAAAAGTAAAAGAATCTATAAATACAGTTTCCATATAACTAATAGGAAAAACTAACAGTGGATTAACACCCTTCTAAACACATACCCTTTTGTAAAATATAAGGAAGCCCTAGAACCGGAACCCATTACTTTTAAAGACATATATAACAGTAATAATACCAATAGTAGTAAATGTTATTAATATAGCGCTTAAGAACCCCGACATAATATAACATACCTAAAATACATAGAAGAATACAGATGCCCACTATATATATTAGAAGAAGAAAATCACAAATACACAGAATATATATACTATAAGAGCATAAAAATTCCACATCTATGCGACAAAGAAATGCATAAATAAAGGAAATATTAATGTAAAGTTTATAAATTAATAAACCTTAACCACAACTGTAACAGATGCCGCATCTACGGATCCTATAACCCCAAATATAACTATATATATATTCTAAGGGAATAAGCAGAAGAATAAAAAAAACAAAAAGAAAGACAATAATACCTCAACAAAAACCCACCTTATAGGATAACCCTAGAAGAGGCTTAGGAACAAATTAGACTTAACAAAATAAACATTTAAGGAGCATATAACTAAGTCCCTATCTAGGACCTCCTTAATGCCCTAGAC